CACCGACAGCACATTTGGATAAATTTGAAGCAACCATCGATGTTAAAAGGTTTATAAGAAAATTAAGCATCAAAAAACATTTTCATCAGATACCAGATTTTCCAGTAAAAGAAGAGCCTCTAAGTAGGTTCCAACATAGTCAACTGAGACCAACTTCTAAATTTTATCCTTTGAATCAAGTATCTGCTGGGATGGAAATATATGAGTAATTAGTAACTGATGATATAAGGAAGATGAAAAAGAACAATCATTCAAGGAATAACTTAACAAGCAAAGAAAGAGAAGCAATTAAGGATCTAAGTAATAATGAAAAGATTTGCATCAAACCAGCGGATAAAGGTGGAGGAATAGTTATTATGTCGAGTGAATATTATTTAAAAGAAGCATCCAGACTACTGGAAGAACCTGAAACATACAAGAAATTATCAATTGATCCATTGAATACAATAAAGATTGAACTTGAAACTATGCTGGGTAAAGCTAAAGACATAGGAATCCTAAAGGAGTCCGAATATAGATTTCTTGCTATTCCCTTTCCAAGAACCCCTACCTTTTATTTCTTACCGAAAATTCATAAGAACTTGACAGCACCCCCCGGTCGACCAATAATATCGGGGATAAATTCCATCACATCAAATTTGTCACAATACATCGATGCATTTTTACAACCATATGTGTCCAGGGTTAAGTCCCATCTTAAGGATACGACACAGATGATTAAAGAACTGGACTCCCTTTCCTGGCAAGACAATTATATTCTAGTATCTACAGATGTGACCTCCCTATATACGATTATTGATCACCAACAAGGCTGTGATTCCGTGAGAAACTCATTGAATAAATATGGGGAACTGGAAGATATGCAAACTGCATTTATAATAGAAGGAATTGCTTTTATTCTAAAGAACAATTATTTTCTATTTGAAGATCAGTTCTATCTCCAGAAGAAGGGAACAGCCATGGGGACGAAATTTGCCCCTAGTTTTGCCAACCTGTTCATGGGGGATTGGGAGGACAATCACATTTGGAATGGACATCCTTGGAATAAGAACATCCACAGATATAAAAGATACATCGATGATGTTTTCTTTATATGGGAAGGTGAGATGAATGATTTGCAGAAGTTTCTGGAATATGCAAATAAGAACACCTGGGGAGTGCAACTGAATACTACTTGTAGTAAAACACAGGTAGAATTTCTTGACCTTACCATCTATATAGAGTCTGGGAAAGTAAAAACGAAAACGCACTTCAAAGAAGTTGATGTGAACAGTTTTATTCTTAAAGAGAGCTGTCATTTACCTACGTGGTTAAAGAACGTACCCTATAATGAATTTAGACATCTGAAACGCAATTGCACAGACTCTGAAGTTTATAGGGAACAAGCGGAAACAGTAAAAAACAAATTCTTGTCGAAAAATTACCAACAGAAAGAAATAGAGGAGACACTATGTAGAGTAGAGAAGCTAGATCGTATCAATCTCATGAAAAATAGAGATAAATCACAAATAAAAAGAATAGGAGAAGATTTTCCAGCAATTATCTTGAATTACAACAAAGAAAATAAACAACTAAAAAGAATACTTACTAAACATTGGCATTTATTGAAAAAAGATAAAATACTGGCCGACATTTTACCAGCAAGACCCAGAATAATTTTTAGGGGCGCACCGAACCTAAGAAGAAAAATAACAAATAAACATCTAAAAGGAAGGAATGTCCCAATTATAACAAAGAAGAATGGTTTCTTTTATTGCCTAGACTGTATTGCATGCAAAGAAAGTAAATGCAAACAAACAAAAGGAGTATTTGAAGTTATTAACAACAACTGCAAGAAAGGGAGAGAATCCTTTAAAATAAAGGAAAATATCACCTGCCACAGTATTAACGTAATATATGTACTGGAGTGCCCATGTGGGCTCCAGTACGTAGGAAGAACAAAGAGGCAGTTGTATGTGAGAATAAGAGAACACATGTTGAATATAAAAAAGGGTTATATGCAACACTCAGTCTCAGCCCATTTTAAGCAGTATCACAATTCGGATATGAGTCTTTTGAATTTTAAGGGGATATGCAAAGTAAATAAAAATTGGAGAGGCGGAGACCATAATAAACAATTGGGCATTACTGAGATGAAATGGATTTATAATTTAGATACGTTGCAGCCTAAGGGATTAAATGCTGAGTTTGAGCTCTGTCATTTCTTGGGATAAATTGCCTCTTCTCTCACTCCTCCCCCCCCTTTTTTTTTTTTTGGGTCCTTTAAGAATAATAGTCTTAGCTCTTTATAGAGTAAATATAATTTTTATGATATATAATCTATAGAGGCAGTACAAGTATTAAGGTTTAAAACATCAAGACTGCTTCAAGAATAAATTTTCAAGGTCAAAATATTGATCCTAGTTATAATATAGTAATTACCTATATGAGAATTAAAAGATACAATTTATCTTATTTTATATAATAAATTTTGCTAAAGTAATTTTTTTTAATTAATTTTACTATCCTCTTGTGCTTAGTCGTGCTAAATGAAAACGGCAGTTATATTTGAACCTGCTTAGGCGGGTGTTGCTATAGTAATAATAAAAAGAATTACAATATACTATCCTCTTGTGCTTAGTCGTGCCAAATGAAAACGGCAGTTATATTTGAACCTGCTTAGGCGGGTGTTACTATAGTAACAATAAAAAGAATTACAATATACTATGTTGTAAAATATAACAGAGTAATGTTTTTCATTTGTGCTCTTATGTAGCTAATTAGGCTTACATTGTTAGCACATTTCTGTAAGCATCTATTTTTTTTGCCGGGAAACAGCAAGCCGGCTACTGCTATATAAACGGATACAACGAAGCAGACCGCATCCATTGAGAAAGCCGCCGAAGCGGAGAAACGCGTTTGGAGGGGTCTGACTCCCATCGATACAAGCCAGCACTCATACATCAAAGAGAACTTTTAAAATGATATTTTTCAGCATGCTTTTTGGTTGACTCGGGACGCCGAGATTATCAAATAAGGTCTGGACTTTCTTTCCTTTTGTGCATGGTTTTTTTTCTTAAAATAACTATTTTTAATAGATGGTATTTTTATTTGTATATTAATAAATTGTGTTTTACAATTATTATTGAGTACGTAAGTGAGACTATTATGAATAACTAGATGATAAGGTGCTTCTTTTGATTTTACATTTTGTTTTATATTATATAGGTCGTTAGGTTTCCTATTTATATACCTTATCTCTTATCTATACATTTTCTAGTTAATCAGCGCTCCACTTATGGCAGGCTGCCTGGTATTACTGCCAATCCTTACCTGAATGCTCTATTTCACTTCTCTGAAGCATATACCCTCCTGCCTGGTGTTATCTTGCCTTGGTTGAGGTTTGTTTTCTAGACATCGCGGAATGCGCTTTCTGGCATCCCTTGGCACTTTGACAGGCCTGAAAAAAATTCTGAGGTGGGCTGTACACTTGTTTTCTGATTGGGGAATTGGTTAAGAGCCCATATGCTAATGTACTGCATCCTTCCAGCACTGGGATCTCACTGCTTGCCATACTGGGCTGGTGTAGAGAGGCTATCATCTTGAAGAGACACTATAGGCATTAAGACAACTTTAGCGTAATGAAGCAGTTTTGGTGTGTAGATCATGCCCCTGCAGTCTCACTGCTCAATTCTCTTCCATTTAGAAGTTAAATCAAGTGTTTATGCAGCCCTAGTCACACCTGCACGTGACTACATAGCCTTCCTAAACACTTCCTGTAAAGAGATAAGAAATGTGCAATATGTGAAGTTTAAACATTAGATATCTCCTGCTCTGTTAACAGCCTTCTAGACCTTGCAGGAGCCTCCTCTGTGTGATTAAAGTTTAATTTACATAGCAGGAAATAAAAACTTCTAAAACAATTTAACATATAATGTAAATGAAATGAAACATTTTCTTCATGCAGGTTGTGTGTGTCACATCCAGGAGAAGTGTGGCAAGGACTGCATAAACAGAAACAAATGTGATTTACTTGTAAATGGCAGATCTTTGAGAAATGAGACTACAGGGATATGATCTATACACCAAAACTGCTTCATTAAGCTAAAGTTATTTTGATGCCTATATAGTCCCTTTGAGTTGTTTTAATTGGATTTGTTATGCAATTTTATGCTCTTCTGTTTTCTCTGCGGCACCTTTGCATTGTTGATCAAACCGCTGCAACATTGGTTTAAACTTGCCTGATTCAGCCACCATACGTAATATTGTAAATTTAATAAAAAAATTTAAAAAGTGTTCTGATTGTTAATCATGCTATTGCTATGTACTGTGAGATATAGATTTGATTTCTGGTCTACTTTATACTTGTCATAAATTAAATAAATACATGAATACATTTGAAGGGGCGGGGGTAAAGCATTTCTTGGTAATCATTAAAAGGATAAATGGTAGATTCCCCCTCCCCTTTTATGTGTCAATTAGGTCAGTGGTTCCCAACCCAGTCCTCAAGGCACACACATGGTCCAGGGTTTGTACAAATCCCTAGTGGCACAGAATAGGCAACATTCCTAAATCTTGGATTGTTGGTGTTTCTTTTGTAAATATAATTAATATATCCAAACACCTATATTTAGAAACAATTCCCTAGACTCTAAGCATCTTCCAGTAGGATCCACTCAATCAGGAAAAAATAACTAAAATCTGTTGTTTGTTCAAATGAACAGGGCAATAAGTAACATGCAAACATGCTAGATATTTCTCATAAAACACACTCTTTCTAGAGCAATATAAATAAAATAGCAATGTTACATTATTTTTACATAAAAATTCAATCCTCTTATACGTTTCAATATAAAGTCAGTTTATTCAATACTGTCCTTGTAAGGTGGCCATTTGTGGTTAAAATGTAGCCATGGCTATTCCTCTTCCACCAAATGATTGTTTCCTGTAAATTAAATTGGTGGACCAGTGTGTCTGTAAATATATGGTTATAGTTATACGTGTTTCCTTAAGTATGTAACCCTATATCAGCTTGTTTTAGAGATGTAGCAGTAAGTCTCCCAAGGGGTGCATCAGTGATTGTCTCTATATCCCAGGGAAACAAGTAGCTGTGGTCCCCTGTTTCTCATTCACCTTTGGTCTGCTAAGATAAGAACAAAACCGTTCTCCCTCACCAGCTGCACTTCTGACAATTCATGCACCAGTTAAAACATCACGTCCAATACTTTCAATTATTGCATGGCATAGCAACACCTCTTTCCACTTGCTCCTTCATTCGGGGCTACCTGAAATTATCCCCATCTGAGTGATTAAAAAAAACATACATTCTTGGTATTTTATGGACCTCTCTCTTTCCTGTTATGAATAATGCTTTGTTTTGCATGTGTTGTTTTCTGCCTATGCACATTATACAATTTCTAGTTGAATGAGAAACAGGTATTCATATGTAAGCATAGAATACTTGGTGCAGCCTGTTATGATTTGTTTGTTATGATTTTATAACCTTCTCTTTACAATACTTGTACTCTTGCACCTGTATTCTTGAGATGTCTGGTGGGAAACCTTCTGAGTTTTCTAATCTTATATCCTTCTCTATTAGTTCATCTGGCACTTTAATGCTTGCATCCTGCTTAGTGTTCCTGATGTGTTCAATAGCTGAACAATTTATACATTTAAGAATGTATTTATTTTCTGTATCCTTCGGTGACCCACTAATCAAGGAGTAGGCAACCTTCGACACTCAAGATGTTGTGAGCTACATCCCCCGTAATGCTCTTCTAGCCAAAATGCAGGCAAAGAATCAGGGGGATGTTATTCATAACATCTGGAGTGCTGAAGGTTGCCTACTCATGCATCAGTCAGTGTTGTGTGTTCTGAGTGAGTTCCACTATTTTGTGTCCTAATACTAAGCTCACCTACGCATTTTGGGATGCTGAAAGACAACAATAACAGACCACAAAATATAATATATTAGGATTACTTGTAAGCACTTTGTTTTGCTAGTAATGTAACAACACACACGTGACCAAGAAACCAAAGAGAAAAAAAATGTCCAATTACTTTTGGTTTCTGCACTAGAGCCATAGTTCCTGCACTATTAATTATATAGGCGTTCTTTTTAAACTACACTCTGATCTCCTCTTGGTCAGTGTTTCATGTCATATCCATCATCTTTTCAAATATGCATTTGCATTTGTACATATATCATCACACTGTGAAATCATTCCTATATTCACACGTTGCCGTCATACTGTGAAGAATGAGGCAGCAATAATGCCTAAGATTGGTGGAAACTTTATAAAATGTATTATGCATTCCAATCCATATTTTTAAAGGGAGTCACACTCCCAGGCTGCAGCTGATGCATCTTGGTGGGCTGTCTTCAGCAGCTCCTGTTTTTCTGTAGTGGACATGTATAGGATATTATTTAGCCATGTGCATGTGTGTGTGAGATAATAGATAGTACATTCTGAGTAAGTTATTATTTGTTTATAAGTAGCCAACATATACTGCAGCGCAGAGTATAGAAAAATATTAGTGTGTTTAACTGAATTAATCTGGGAGTATGTGTACAAGTCCTGGCGGATATTCTCTCTTCAATATGGGAGGGAATCTCCTTGGGAGACTGAAATGTTGAAAAACAGGTTTACTGATAAAAATCTCCCTCCCCCTTGTTCAAACCTGACTGCAGTGCAACTTGTGGATCTCAGCTCTTGAAGATAGTGCTTCTCACCTCTTTGTATGAGGATAGTGTTTGACCCATATTGTGGGTATACCCTGGATTTTTGTTGTACATTTGATCCTACAAAAACAAGTGTGTATGTGTATCATACACGTTCCTTAGACGCTGTGCCTCACTCCCCGTGACAAGGCTGAGACACTTCCCTGTGTTCATATCCGAAACCAGAATGTCTGAAGAAAACTGGAATAAGACAACGTTGAACAATTTAATCTCTAAAGAAGGGAACTCAAAGTGTGCAGATTGTGGAGCTCCAGGTAAGAAGGGATAGAGAGAATGTGAAATAACAAAAAGGAAGATGGGAAGGATTAGCAAAAACGAGGGCTAGGAAAAGTTCAGGAAGAGAGCAGATATTTCAGAAGATTACCATTGGCAGGGATTGGAATAAAACGACTATTTTATTAGAAGAACACAAGTAACAAGGAAATAAGTACCGAGGAACTAATGGAAATAGGAAGGCATTGAAGGACAGATAGTCGTAATAATTAGAGTGTAAATTAAAGCAATGGAGAAAGAAAATATTGTATTTATCTGGGGAAAATCACAATATTATAATGTTGTTTTAATATGATTTAAAATGCATATAGATCTACTACTGGAGGAGTAGTCTTTTGTTCTGTTTACCATGAAGAACTATTTGCATTAATTTCTGCATTTGTGCTTTAAAGGGACAATCGACTGTAGCGTTAACGTCAATTTGCTTTTGCAATATACAACTTCTATGTGTCCCTGTTGAATACATTTTCCCAAGGGTGTGGTTTTGGGTGAAAACAGGCACTGACTAAGGCCTCTCAGCCAATATTAGATCTCGCATAGCTTTCTTCAGGCAAAAGTGAACATTTCTCACTAATTTCTCAATATAACCATGAGCAGCATCTCATTCACTAACAAAAATGATTGAGAACCACTTGTACATGTGAATTTTTTTTATTTAATAACTATGTCGCTATTTGTGGTTGAATTTTTCTGCAGGGGGTGGGGGGGCATAATTGTATTGACATTAATGTTTGGTCCCTTTTTGACAGTGTAATGAAGGGGAGGGGCATAGTCATTATCACATAAAGCCAGGGTTAATAGTGTTTTCACAACTATGGTGTCAGGAATACATGTTTGTATTCCTGACACTACAGTGTTCCTTTAAGCAATAAAGGAACATTCTGGTAACCATAACAACTTCATCTAATTGAAAATGCTATGATTCCAGGAAGCCCCTTGGTGCTCTCTTTCCTATAAGGGGTTAAACCACTCTCAAATGGTTTAACCCCAAAGACTTCCTCCAGCTCCAGATCTCCAGGTCACTCAGTCTTATTTGGCTTCTGAAACGGAGTGTCAGGAAGTGCAGATTGACGTCAGGCATGAGTGGACGCTCTAAGCCAATCCCTAGTACCCGGTTCATAAAAATGTTTTACTTTTTTATAAATGGGGAACTACTGATTGGCTTAGAGTGCCGGCTGACTGCTCTAGCCAATCAGCAAGAGCAGTCCCCAGCGGCACTCTGTGCTCCCTGACACTCAGCAAATTAAAGTGAACACATTAACACTGATTCTTTTTTACCTGTGGAGATGAGAAGTACCAAAGTTTCCTTGCCAGGCCCAGGTACCAAAGCCTTATGATGTGGTGTCCAGAATAAAGTGGAGGGTTCACTTCACTTGTCCTTCCTGCTCCAATCTCCTTTTCTTCTCCTTCATTTGACAGTCTTCTTTTTCTTCTGACACTGTCTCTCTCCTCCTTGGCTCCTTCACCTTTCTGCTACTTTCTGCTTATTTTGCGCCCTTCTGCTCCTTTCTGTTTCTGATCCCTTTCTGCTCCTTGCAGACCCTTTGTGCTCCTTCCCCTACTTTATCTTTGTGCTCCTTGCTGTCCCTTCCTGTTAGTTTCTGCACCTTCTTCTACTTTACCTTTGCGCTCCTTCTGCCCCTTCCAGCTCCTTGCTACCTTTTCTGCTCCTTTACCTTTGGGCTCCTTCTGTCCCTTTCTGCTCCTTGCAGACCCTCCCTTCTCCTTGCAGGCCCCTCCTCCTTCTGGATGACCGTTCCTGCTCCTTGCTTACCCTTCTTTACCTTTGTGCTCCTTCTGCCCCTTCCAGCTCATTGCTGACCCTTTTTGCTCCTTGCTGTCCCTTCCTGCTCCTTATCCTACTTTACCTTTGTGCTCCTTCTGATTCGTTCTGCTCCTTCACCTTTGTGCTCCTTCTGTCTTTTCCTGCTTCAGCTGCCCCTTTCTGCTCCTTGCTGACCCTTTGTGCTCGTTCTGATTCTTTCTGCTCCTTTACCTTTGTGATCCTTCTGTCCCTTTCTGCTCCTTGCAGACCCTTCCAGCTTCTTGCTGCCCCTTTCTGCTCCTTCTCCTACTTCACCATTGTGCTCAGGGGCAGGCTGGGCTGGGGGGCAGGGAGGCAATTGCCCCCCAGGCCGCCCTAAATAATTTCAAAAATGGCCACTGCAGGGCCGATCCTGGGCGGGTGCACAGCGTGCACCGCGCACAGGTTCCAGGAGGTGGGGGGCGCCGCACGGAGCAGGATGATGACAGGTCACAGGGTCCAGGGAGCCCAGAAGGTGGCCAGCTGGCCACCTAAGGGCACCTCCGTAGCAAGGAATAGTAGGCACCTGCTTGTCCCAGATGGCAGGTGCCTACTCTGCAGCAATACATCGGCCGGGTGAGGAAGCAGACAGGCGGTGGCGAGGGAGTGCTGACTGTGCTGATGATCTTCCTGCTCCGTTGCGCGCACTCTCTGGTGATGCTGGGAGCCGGAATATGATGTAATTCCAGCCCCACTTTACTAAACAGTGCAAGGGAGCAGAGAAGAACATGAAAGCCACTGGACCCCGGGGAGAGAACCTAGAGGACTCCTAAAGGTAAAAGCAACAAGAATAAAATTAATTTGTGAGTGTGTGTCAGTGAGTGTGTGTGTCTGTCAGCAGTGGCGTACTAAGGGGGGGGCGGGGGGGCGGTCCGCCCCGGGTGCCAGCCGGGTGGGGGGTGCCAGACCAGCCCCGCCGCCCCCCCCCATGCTGCAGCCGCCCGAGCGCTCTGTAAAGAGCCTCAGGCGGCTGCAGCTTTGCCCGGGCGGTGCGTCCATGAGGGCGGACCGCACCGCC